AGATAGATAGATAGATAGATAGATAGATAGATAGATAGATAGATAGACAGACAAATAATAGGTCAGTAGGTAGGTAGATACAAAACTAGGCAGAGATATAGATGCAAAGAGTGTGTGTGTGTGTGTACATATATTTCCTAGCTCTGTCCAATGACAGGGTGTGAGAACAGCAGCGCCCCACAAGTAGCACATACACTAGTACAAACTTTAAGGCCTGAATATCATTTTCCACAGAAAGAAACCAAATTTGTGAAGGAACAGTTAATGCGGTCAGGGGCAGAGAAAGACCAGAATAACCTCGGAACAGCTCATGCCTAAATGCTAGGACCTTATTTCAGGGCAAAGAAGTTAGGGGGCCCCAGAAGTTAAACCTGAGACAAACTTTATATCAAAATAAGTAATGCTAGCAATGGCTTTTAATGTATTACATGAAGCAAGAATGACTGAACTAAAAGTTTGCACAATTGAGTACTTAAATTGTTTCAGATATCTCCTCCTAAATGACTATTGAAGGAAGAGGAAGTTTACAGGAGGAGAGTTTAGCAGACACTACCTTCTACAGACTCATTTACGTCCCTCCTTCCCCACAACTCAAGGCTGAGGTCTTAAGCCCCAGCACTTGAAGGCACTATTTTTAGAGGCAGCAACCTTAAAATAGTCCCTGGGGTAAAATGCAGTCTTGTAAAGTCTCACTGCATGACCTCAAGCCCTGCAGGCACGTACAGCATGCAGCTCGCAGCCTGTGTCGCACTGACGCTAGTACTCCTTGTCAACAGTGCACCCACTTCAGGCTCTACCAAGGAGACACAGCAGTACCTGGAGCAGTTGCTGCTGGACTTACAGCAGCTTCTGAGAGGGGTCAATAATTACAAGAATCCGAAACTCCCCATGCTCCTCACGTTTAAATTTTACATGCCGAGGAAGGCCACAGAACTAAAGCATCTTCAGTGCTTGAAAGAAGAACTTGGACCTCTGTATGATGTGCTAAATTCGGTTCAAAGCAAAAACCTTTACTTGGAAGATGCTGGGAATTTCATCAGCAATATCAGAGTAACTGTTATGAAACTAAAGGGCTCAGAAAACACACTCAAGTGCGAATTTGATGATGAGACAGTGACTGTGGTGGAATTCCTGAGCAGATGGATAAACTTCTGTCAAAGTGCCATCTCAACAATGACTCAATAACCGCGTGCCCCCTGCTTACAACACACAAGGCTTTCTATTTATTTAAATATTTCAAGTTACATTTATTTTTGGATGTACTGTTCACTATCTTTTGTTACTACTAGTATTCAGACGATAAATATGGATCTTTAGAGATTCTTTTTTGTAAGCCCCAAGGACTCTAAAATGTTTTAAATTATTTATCTGAAATTATTTATTATATTGACTTGTTAAATATCATGTCTATGTAGATTCATTAATAAAAGTATTCAGAACTATAAAAAAAGTCTCACTGTAAAAGGAAATTTTATTCACCTGTTTCAGCAACTGTCTAAGAGGCTTACTGCCTCTGTCTGCTAACCTAGGCCTAGTCCTGGAAGCTTCTAGCCTCAGTACAATCTAGCCTCAGCCTAGAATGTTTTCAGCCTCTGAGACTGAGCTGGCTGGTTCAACTCAGCTGTTCTAGCTCAAACTCCTCTCCCAACTAATTTAGTCAATCAAAACATTTTTTTCTCTCTGCCTCTGAATTGCTCTGCTTGGCTTCAAACTAAACTCCAGCAATCTGCTCTAATATTATGGCTCCTTTTCATTCTCTGGCTTGTTTTGTCTTCAGTTTTGTCTGGCTTGTTCTCTCATTTACAAATAGAGAGAGGAAAGGGAAGCTGCTTAAGGGGCAATGTAAAGACAACAATTGAAGTGGTCGAATAAAAGTGACTTTTCCATATGGTGCCCAATGTTGGCGCCATAAAAGTAACTTTTATTCTCTTTCTCAGAAGTAAGTCTCAGAGGCTGAAAATATTGTAGGCCTAGATTGGATTGTAGGGAGGCACAAAGCTTCCAGGACTAGCAGACAGAGGGACTAGTGTTGCGAGAGGAAAACCGAATCAAGCAAATTGAGTTCCTTTTACATCTCATCCAACGTGACTTGTAGGATTGTAAGAAAGTAGGTGGAGACACACAGAGCAGAGACCAGAGAAAAGCCAAGTGAATGAGAAGGCAGCCTGTTTAAACTTTTACCTCAGACTTTTACTTCCCGCGTCCAGCACTATGAGAAATTGATTCCCGGTATCATGTTATTGTAGCACTAGACACAACGTTGTTAATCAAATACCAGACGTGAATGCCCTCATGATGGGGCAAATGGAAGCAGGGACCACCTGAGAAGACGCAGTGGGAAGGATGTGAGAGCACACCAGAGGCACCCAAGGTAAGGAAAACACGCCCCAAATAACTAGACTGTCATTCTCAAAACTAGCAGACTCACGAAGGACTCATGAAGGTGAATGATGAGGCATTGACCAAATAATGTTCAAGCTTACAGCATCCTGAAGTGGCACAGTGCCTCAGGACTAACAAGCTGACCCCAGGTAGGCACTGCCCAAAAGCTGTTTAAATGCCTAACATGGCGCCTTTACGAGGACACTCTCTCTCCAAGGAGATACGAGACCAAGTGATGTACTAGGTGAAGCTGTGTCCTCGCAACCAGTGGGCACTATTGGCGAGCCAAATTTCTGCAGAACTTTCTCCATAGGAATGGGTCCCCAAAGTCATTCCTTCTAAGGTGCTGAACCAAATTAAGGTTCTGAAGGAGCAATCCCTTTCCATCCCAGCATGGAAAGTTCTGATGAAGAAAGCCTGACAGTGCTCTATCAGTACCAGCTTTTAGCAACAGACAGGTGCCTGGGCTGGGTGTATCAAAAACTGTTCCCAAAGTAATCAAGTTCCCACAATAATCAGGCTCCCACCACAGCCAGAAACACAGGAGACTCACAGCACAGGAGTGTAACCAGAGGCTGGTGCACCCTGTTCCTGGTCAGCATTTGATCCACGGATACTGTAAGATGAAAGCCGCAGGTCTTGCAGCTTCCTTCAGCTACTTCCTGCCCCAGGGACGATGCGCCCTCGCTGTGGAAACTTCCTGAGCTCCCTGTGTTGATTCACGTCTTCCTATACCTCCCTTACCTTGTAAAAGTTCTTCGGCAAACTATTAATTTGCAAACAGGATAGAGATGTAGCTCAGTTGGCACAGAATTTGTCTCTCATTCGGGAAGCTCTGGGTTTGGTTCCCAACTGTGCACAAAGCCAGGTGTGGTGATGAACACCTGAAATCCCAGCCCTCGAGGAAAGTGGAAGAGCATCAGTTCCAGGTCAACCTCCTCTGCTCAAGTTCGAGTCCAGCTAGGACTATAAACTAAGAGACCTTCTTTCTTAAAACAATCATATAAAACTATCAGTTGTTCTAAAGGAGCACTTTAGCTCTTAAGATAATGGACAAATCCAGATTAAAAGACAGGGAACATTTCTTTTTAAAAAAATTTACAGTTATCTCTTTCTGGAACTTTTGTTTCTCAAAAGAACTAACCCCCCCTCCTTCTAGGTGATAAAAAAAAATTATAGAAATGCCTTCATAGACTAGCAAGTGGGGCTGGGCATGGTGACATATGCCTGCTCTCAGGAGGCAGATGCAGGAAGATCTCTGTGAGGTCACCTTGGTCTATATAGCAAGTCCCAGGACAGTCAGGGCCACATTGTGAGACTCTGTTTCACAAAAAAAAAAAAAAAAAAAAAGAAAGAAAAAAGAAAAAAAAAAAAAAGAAAGATAGAAAGAAACAAAGAAAGACTAGCAAATAAATCTAGAACACTCAAGCCAAGAACTAAAGGAAGACATTTCCAGCTTAGAAGCCAGAGCTCAGAATCACCTGGGGACAAGCCCTTGAAGATGGGATCTCAAAAAGCCACACGGCTGAGCAGAAGTGAGGTAGAAAACACCCATTCCACTCACATATGTGAATGAGGCAAAGTGGCTTGTGTCAAACTTTAGTGCTAAGTGACAGCAAAAAAATAATTTCCCCCTAAGGATTTAAAACTATTCAGCAATTAAAATTAATTTGAAAGGCTTAGAGCATAAAGTGGATTCGTCTCAAAAATATGAGGCTGATAATTCAAAACCACAAGATGGCCCTTGTTGAAGCCTTGACGCTTAAGCGGACAGATAAATGTCAGGCCAACAACAGAACTCACGGTGTCTCCTACGGACGGTACACAGGCGCACATGTAGGCTGTAGCAGCGTGCAAGATGCAGGGCGGTATATCACCCTCTAACGAAGGGCCTGACTGTACCTACCTGGGGCTTCTGTGGCCACATGGTCACTGTGGCAAACGGAGACTACACATAGGCACATTTGTAGCTACGAAAGTAGAGGGTAGGATCTGTCCTGTGGACTACATTTTACTAATCCCTAACTAACAGCCTAGGGAAAGAAGATAACGATGCCAAAAATAGCCGGTATGAAAATTCCAACACACCCACGGGGGTACTCGTGGATCTCCCTTGGAAGGGGAAATAGAATACACTTTGCAGGTGGACTGGAGGGTGGGTGGGGGTGGGAACAGGAGGGATCAGACAGGGGTTCAGAGGGAGAACTAGGAGACGTGACTAGAACTGGGAGATACCTGGAGGGTTTATGGAAAGAAACCTTCTGGAGGAGAGACTCCCAGAAGCCTGTGAGGGCAACCTTGATGGGAGACTCCTAGTAGCTCGGATTACAGAGCCTGGACTGGCCGTCGGTAACCAGGCAAGGCTTCATCATCTGTAACCAGTGGTGGGCCTGGGACATCAACCCAGCCACACAACCTTCAACCTTCCATTTGTCCTGCCTGATGTGCTGGGTTAACAGTGACTCAGCCTGTGGGAACGGCCAACCAGTGGTTGGTCCAACTTGAGGCCCACACTTCACATTGCCTGGGTGGCCTGGACGCAGAGGCTGAGCAGCCAGAAACCCAGAATAGAACCAAATACAACTGGAAAAAAAAAAAGTCAATGAAATGATATTCTGTTCTACTCTTAGATTGCTGCCTGGACCAGTTGCCGTCAGAGAGGTTTCATCCAGCGACTGAAGACAGCTGTGCTCACATAAAACCAACAGCCTGTCTTCAATTTGCAGATGTCTACAAAATAGCCCAAGTGCCACAGAGGGAGAGAGTAAAGAAAGGACAGTCACCAAGATTGTGTGACTAAGCCTGGGGCAGTCCCATTACATAGGGACCTTCCTCCTGAAGATGGTCCTCTGCCCAGGCTGCACATACTACTTTCTGGGTATTCGCTGCTCCACTTCTCATCCAAACCCAGGGTGTGCCATGGTATGTCAGGAACTCTTGGCATTCCTCAAACTTGCTGTCTGTAAACACAGCCTGGACAAAGTACTAGAATGAAAACAAAAACAAAAACAAACAAAAAAACAGCTCAAGTAATGGATCTACAGAGGCTTGGGAGCAAGGTCATAGCTGATGGAAATTCCCTACTAAGCCCTTGGTATCTCATCAATGACTGTCCAGAAGACTCAGGAACACCAGACTCCAAAACCCCATCAGAGGCATGTAGGTATGCATTTGAGATAAAATCTCACATTACAATCCAAGTTGGCCTAAAACTTACTGGATAGACAAGGCCAACCTCAAACTCACAGCAAACTCCCAAGTGCTGGGATTTCAAGCATGAACCAACAGTGTGAAGCTTTGAAAACAGTAGCAGCAAAAGTAGCTGCTCCTCTTCTCCATCTTCTAAAATGTCTCATGAAGTCCAGGATGGCTTCAAACTTATTTTGTACCCAAAGATGACCCTGAACTTGTCTTTATTGAGCCATCTCTTCAGTCCCCGACCTTGAACCTCTGATTCTCCTGTCTCAAGTTCTGCTGGGATTATACAGGTGTGAACCACCACAGAATATTTCTAAAGTGTGTACAAAGTAGTATTAGATGGGTTGGAGAGATGGCTCAGAAATTAAAAGCACTGGCTGTAGGTCCAGAGGTCCTGAGTTCAATTCCCAGCAACCCATATGGTGGCTCACAACCATCTATAATGAGATCTGGTGCCCTCTTCTGGCCTGTAGGTGTACATGCAGACAGAACACTGTATACCTGATAAATAGAAAAATCTTTCGGAGCTGGGGATGTGTTTCAGTTGGTAGAGTACTTACCTAGCATGCGTGGTACCCTGAGCTGGGTTCCCAGTACCGCATATGATAATAGTAATAATAACATACAACAATAAATAGGTATGGTTGTGCAAGCCTGGAATCCCAGCTTTTGGAGGCTGGGAGGCAGAGGTCGGATAAGAAGTCCAAGTTCAGCCTTGGCTACATAGCAATTTCGAAGTCAGTCCGGGTTGTATGAGACCCTGTCTCAAAACTCTTTTCATCAAAATATTATTAGGACCAGACATGGTGGTGTACACCTGGAACCCCAATACTCAGGAGGCAGAGGTGGAGCGAAGCTGGCCTAAGCCCAAAGCCAGCCCTGGTTTGCACAGTGAATGGCAGGCCAGCTAGGGCTTAGAGACTTTGCCTCAAAATAACAGCAACAACAGAGGAGAAATCCAAGGTGCATGCTCCAAATCTGAGCAGCATTAGCTTTCCAGAAACATGCCTTCCACAGCGATGCCATCCTGCGAGAACTCAGAAACTAACGTAGATCAAAGTCCTACAGAGTGAAAGTTCTGGCAAGGTAGGCTTCCACTGACCAGCATCAATGACAGCCTTACTGTTCTCAGACGCTCTAGGAAGGACATTTTTATATACATCCAAACCCAGCAACTTCCCTGAGAACTGAACATGGAATGACTTTAGTAATTCAAGCCTTACTGAATATTAAAAAGTTAGAAAGAAAGAAAGAAAGAAAGAAAGAAAGAAAGAAAGAAAGAAAGA